GAAACATAATCCTGATGCGGCCTTCAATGAAATTGAGTTTGGCACCCCTGCTCCAGGACATCTTAGAAAAACAGGTAATCCTCGAATGATGACCCCAGTTGGGACTGGACATTCCATCATTAAGCGAGGCGGTTGCTGAGTGAGTTGAGTCCAATTTTGTAACCTCTTTTGCTGTTGTGGTTAGGTGAATCCCCACGTTCGTTAAGTGAATCTGGCTACCCCAGTTGACTTTGCTTGCTGGAAGTTGGCTAGGAAAGTCACAGATGGCGATCACATGACCCTGGGACAGTGCAGCCATCATATGTGCTGTTTGCCAAGTGCCCAATTTCTGATCGTATGATTATGGGAATGTTGCAATAATCGTCTATGAGGACTGGTTCTAAACCACTTTTTTTCAATGCCATTGTAATCTCCAATGGTCACTGTGAGTGGTCATAAGTTGAGGACTACCTATACAAATGAAATAAATGTTTGTCTGTATCCTGGTTTCTAAGCCATTTTAAAGATCCAGCACTTCTAAGATATCCTGTCCTGCAACTGCTGAGCACCAGGACCTGCAGAACTCCTAAAATTAGATTTATATCTAGTCATCTCAGAGTTGTGAGTTCAACTCCAGTAGAGCCTCACAGAATAACATCTAGCTACACACATCTGACAATTTCCAATAAAAACAAAAGTGGTCATGCAGCATCTCTTGGTGGTTCATGTCATACAAAACAATGTGATGATTTTTCAAATTGAACTTTATGGAAGAGATTATTATTGTCTGAGTTGTGTCTAATCCAACACAGCTGGAAGGTGTCCTTTGTATCCTATGATAATAAATGACCAGGAAATTCTAATAAGCTACACTTAAATGAACAGCCTACCAGCCACCCATTGCCTATTCATATTTCTGCTTCTACCTTGGCCAAAATAGAAAAAAATTATCAAACTCAGTTATTTAGTCTATTTTTGTATAAGTCTTTGTACCTGAATCAGGACAGCAGAATGGGTTAAAGCATCATTCAACATAGTAAGCACATTCGAAGTGGGGACTACTCCTGGATCGTGACCCCAAGATGTTATTAATAAACGGTCATAGCCCTGGGAATCAAATGCAAAGAGACAAATTAAGACCCAATTAACAAGACATTTATTTATTTATTTATCTATTTATTTATATTACATCTATAGTAGTGTAATTCAGGGTCTGTATTTTATCCCCCCCCCCCAACATTTTCCCATTAAAATTTTACTTTTGTTTTCTTTTCAGCCTGGTCACCTGGCTTAAATCTTTTTCTGCAAAACCTGATCTGTATTTATTTAATATACTTTTTCAAGTAATATATTTGTTAATGCTATATTTATAATTGCTGGAGGCATTATCTTTGGTGGAAAGGTTTAATATAGTAATACAGAAATGGTGTGGGTTTTTTTGGTAGTTAATCTATTATCAACTAGCCAATAACACGGCGTTGCATGGATATTTATTTATAGGGGGGAAAATTCTGGACCAAACGTAATTTCTAATGTTGGATTTTCCTGCTTACCAGAGGGAGCCCCCTTGTGGAGTACTGTGACGCCACTACCAGCTCCACTGCGCTGTACAGTAGAAGCCATTTTACAGCAGTACAACAGAAGCCATTTTATGGCACAACAGGCTGTATCTTAACAGAACACACACCCCTAGGTAAATTGCTGGAGGTATTCCAAAGTTATGCTGGAAAACACACATACACTTTACACACACACACACACACACACACACAAACACACACTTGTAATATAAAGAATTAGAGGTATATTCTCTAGAAAACAGGAAAGGGTCTTAACTTTTGTTGCAAGTGTTTCAGTGGATCTCAAATTATGGCTAATGTAACCAAAAATAATATTTAGAAGGTATTGGACTCCATTACATTTGGATATAAAAGGACTGTCAAAAACAGTAAATGGAGATGTAATAAGGATCATGCTTCTTTAAAGCACACATTTTTACAATAATCCTCTGCTTAACGAGTTTTGGGAGAAAGTAGCTGATTGTGCGTCAGAAGCTAAAATTCTCAGAGGATAATATTTTCTTGAACTGCATACCTAATACATGGAATTTAATAACTGGGCAATGTAAAGAGATTCTCCATGGTCAAAAAACTGAAATTGCAGCACTGGAAAAATAAATGCATGCCACCCCTACACTCAATGAAGACCTGATTGCATTTACCTCCAAGGAGTTTATGACATTTATGTTTCTTGACATATTATTTCATTTTATTATATAACATTTTGATGTGTTTTTTTCAATTCTTGAACAATGAATGTATATTTTATCACTGTTAGCTTTGTGTTTTGCCTTTTCTTCTTTTTATTAATTAAAAAGCAGTAACAATAAATATAAAAAGTGTATATTATCTAATAAAACCACTAAAGAGTCTGATTCAACCCATTTTCAAAGTTCTCTAAATGCAATGTTTTCAACATTCTTCTTTTGCCAAATGATAAATGGCTTAGATTAATTATATTGATTTATCTCTGGAATCACCTCTCTTCTACCATGAATTAGAAATCCTCTAGATTTCAAACACCAATAACTTCTCAAAGGGGTGCAAAATATTTTGAATTCCCACCAGGTTATTTTGGTAAGAAGTAATGGAATAAGTAAGGGACTAATGAAGGATGCAGTGGCTCAGTGGCTAAGACGCTGAGCTTATTGATCAAAAAGATTGGCAGTTCGAATCCCTAGCACAATGTAATGGAGCGATCTCCTGTTACTTGTCCCAGCTAATGAAGGATGCGGTGGCTCAGCGGCTAAGATGCTGAGCTTATTGATCAAAAAGATTGGCAGTTCGAATCCCTAGCGCCACGTAACAGAGTGAGCTCCCGTTACTTGTCCCAGCTAATGAAGGATGCGGTGGCTCAGTGGCTAAGATGCTGAGCTTATTGATCAAAAAGATTGGCAGTTCGAATCCCTAGCGCCACGTAACAGAGTGAGCTCCCGTTACTTGTCCCAGCTAATGAAGGATGCGGTGGCTCAGTGGCTAAGATGCTGAGCT